CTGTTTACCCTATCACATTTTCCGCTTCTGTTGACCTTAGAGAAAAAGCAGTTTGGTACTGGCGTTTTTCCAACTACATGCCCTGAAGGAAGAACAAGGATAGGCGGTGTTAGAGAACAAGGTGCTACATCAAATATTAGTTCGATAATTTAGACTCATCTTCTAACGTTTCAAGGAGTCTGATGGGCGAAATGTCGTGGTACGAGGAGTAAAATTGAGATATTTTCGTGCGTGTAGGCAATTTTAGTTGTAGGGGTCGAACGGTATATGCTACTTGGAGACCTAAATGAATCTTCAAGAAATTGGGCATGACATCGGTAGAGGGTATCATATAGCAAGAGATGGGTCTAGTGCTCGAGTGGAAATTCTTTTAGTTTTTAATTTTATTATACCCTAACCTTCTGGATGCCATACATAGCATAAAGATGCTATGGAAGTGTAGGCTCCCCACTCGTATACGTCACTTGTCTCTCCCTGTACCTCGCCCGTTCTTCGTTTGGCAGCTTGCCCCCCACAAGTGTGCCCGCCTCTCACGAGACAGACGTGCGTGCACTGACATATTAGGAATCACGATTCATTCTTACAGCGTTACTGCATGCTAATGCCTGTGCTGTATTCAGTTTGTGGTTTATTGAACCTTTGGTCAAATCTTGGCGGTGTTTTGTTCTGGCACGTACAGGATGTTTTTGTCACACTCCCTCTTCCTGTTTCCTTTTTATGATTTCCAGGGCTTCCTCGGAGTCCTGGGTCTCATCATCCATGTTAGATTTTCGCAAACATAAATTAAATTATAGAACTATTTCTGTTGTTAGTTGTTTTAAATGTGCCATTTTTTATTATATTTACTACAAAATAAATAGGACAGGGTCCGGTGGAGGTCTTTGGTTAATTCGGTGATGAACCTTCGGGTTCGATAAACCATCTAGTTAGTTAGTTATATAATTTTATATATGCAAACCGGGACGGGTAGCAGTAACTAGAGAGATGAGCTGAAAAGTAGAACAGAAAGTCATTTTGATAGTTGGTGAGCAATACGAACAAAAATGTTAATCCAATTCAGTCTGAAATATATTTTTCGAACTATCGCCTCGTAAATTATTCTGTATTCTTTCTGCGTGAAGGTCGCTGCTGAAAAGTACTTTAGTGTGAAACAATATCGGGTGAAATCAGAACGTTTCTAAGTCGTCCGTCTCCTAGAAAACAGGATTTAAATGGTAGAAATCCGCTGGTAAATAATACTTCGTACGTACGAAAAGTGTTCAAAGCGAGGTAAAACTTCTCTATTTCTTTGTCTTGTGGATGCATGAAGGCTGCGAGCAAATTCTGCTCTTGCGTGATTCTCGAGGGATATCTTGGTGCTCGCGTTAGCCGCCATTAAGTATGAAGTGTGCAGAACAAAGAACACTCAAGGTTAAACTACATCGTTTATCTTTTACACGTAATGAAGCTGTGTGACAGGTCGTGATCTTCAGAGCGGGACAGGCTTGTAGCTTTCTAATACCTGCCTGGTTTAAATTTAAGGTCCTTGTGACCACGAGTATGAAGATGACAGCCTTCAGAACAGCCCTGATGACCTCTGAATCGTTGGTCAAGTTCTGCGAGACTGCACTGCGCAATATCCAGAAGGCTGTCATTTTCGTGTTTAAATACGTTGCAAGAGTATGGGCTGGATTCACTTGTCTGTGGGTAGGGTCCGTCCGGGAGAGGGAATTTGTGAGCACGACTAATGGACATTCGAATTCCATCAAATGTGAAGAATTTTCTTAAGACTGTGCTCCAAGTATTTAGAATGTCATTAGAGTCAAAATAAATGGATCTTAGATGAGGTTTATTGTGTCTGAAGTTTCATATTTTAACTTTATATTTGAAACTAACTTCAGTGTGAATGGAGTGGTGTATAGAATATCAGGTTATATTTTCTGGCGTCATAGACATCCTTTTCTGTATGATAAATCAAATCGTGTACTTGAGATGGAAAAGTAAGGCCTTATGGGTCTTCAGCTTATTTTCAATATATTATTCTGTTGTCTTGTATCTCATTCGCTCTGGGCGCTAATTTAAAAAGTGGCCGTCGAGCCAGAAATCATTCATTTTACTGGCTGAGGTGGTTGGTTCAAATTTCGTGGTTATTATTTTTAAATGTAATAGCAGCGCAGTATGCCTAATAACGGAATAGTTATATTTAGATCCCTTGGGGCGTATCCGACGTGTACCAATTTACTGTACGTCACGGTATGCCAATGCCCTGAACAATGTCCCGTTCCTCACGTCATCGTAAGGCGAGATAAGTCGCGGTGATGCATATAGGAGCCGTTACGCAAATTGAGTGACGCTGCTCTCACTGAAGTCGTAAGTTAACGGTTATCGACACAGCATCACAGACCGCGTGAAACCGAGGCTTAGATGGGAGGAATGTAGAAATCGATCTTAAGAAACAGGGCGTGGGATGTCGATTGGATTCAGCTGCCCTAGGATATGATCCATTGGAGATCTCTTGTGAAGACGGTAATGAATCTTCTGGTTTCGTAAAGGATTGGAAAGTTCTTTGCCAGTCGAGCTACTGTCAGCTTCTCAAGGACTCTGCTCAACGTCTGTGTGAACCACGATAGTTCTGGCGCACCACCTCAGGGCGGATTATAGTATCAGCCAATCCAGGGAATCTAAGAAGAAATCTCTCGTTTCCGGATTGAAGGGAAACATGATGCACAAATTTCTTTAAATTTTATTTTAAAAAGATCATTATGTTAAATTGTTGAATCCAAGATGACCATCATATTTCTACCTATGTAATGTCTTCCCAAAGACACGAGGAAGAATATCTTCATATGTTTTTATTTCACCCGAATATTTGCAAAGGTCCAGGTGATAATACTGCGTAACGGAGAACTACGAGGTGCGATCGGAAAGTTTCAAGACTGTGTCAATAGCTGATTCTAAAGGAAGAACTCCACATGCGACGCAAGGCTCCTGTCTGAGGACCAGAAGCAGAATCGACTTCTCGTTTGTCAGGAGCTCAAAGATCTTGCAAGAACCGACCCCAACTTCCTTTTTAAGCTCCGTGTGACTTCTTCCTCTTCTCAAAGATGAAAATTCAGCTAAAGGGATGGAGATTTGAGACGATAGAAGAGATTCAGGCAGAATCGCAGATGGTGCTTGACAGGCTGACAAAGAAAGATTTCCAGGGATGCTTCCAGGCTTGGCAGCGGCGCTGGGATCGTTGTGTTCACTCCCAGGGGAACTACTTCGAGGGTGATGGATGAATTTAATACTTGAGATAAGTGTACGGGTTTTTATAGGCGCAGTCTTGAAACTTTCCGATCGCACCTCGTACCACGATAAAATTAAGTGGGGTTTATTTGGCCCAATCATATAACTTATATTAACGCCATCAAATAAAACCGATCTTCGAAGGAGACATTTGAAAAGTGTTTCTTCCAGCCTTGTCATTGTTTTGTATAATTCCAAGTTTTCAATTTGCGTTTTTGTTGTCTCTCGCAGCGGACATTAGTTCGGAGCTCGATATTGTGGCACATTGCAGGCTTAGGTTGGGGTATTTTGTGATTGTTCTTTTAACAGCATGTTCTGCTATCTTGTGTGGGCGGATTAAGTACTGTACGAGCAGATTCGATACGAAAATGTGATAGAGGATCCGCATGAATGATCTCAATTTTTAAACGCGTTTTGTAGTATCTGCATTCCCAGCTATCTATTCTCGGGCGTTTTACCGCTAAGTTAACCGTTTTAAACTAGAACTATGAAACGTTCGAGCTTTGTTCGTAATTCTGGAATGAACACAAAGAATAAGAGATAACGCGTGGCAGCCATGTTATTACACATCTCGCACAAAGGTACATTGTGAAACCACTGAGGAAATCAAATATTTTCACAAGACAAAAATCAGTTAATTTTGTTCTTTCTCAAGTGTAGACGTGAAATTATTTTGTATAAAAACTACCAAACCTTCAAAATTAACTGCCTCTCTTATCCAGGACTGAAATGAATAAAACTTAGAGTCTTTAATCATTAGCCTGGCTCGGACGTCAGTTACATTTTTCGACGGTGCGACATTTCTATAATAATTCGATATGCTTTCTCCTCCAAAAATATTCTCAGGCATGATGACTGATGTTGCTTCAACTTTCTCTACTGCACTGGAAAGAAAGTGAACGCCACGAACTGCTTTGATCGTGAAATATTTCCTCACTCTTGTAGTGTCGGGTTTATCTGAGGGCTCTGAGCCGTGCTTCAAGCCAAACTAATTAGCCGAGATCATTACAGGCATCGCCGGATGAACGTTATGCCCCGGGCTAAGCCCACGTTTGTGATACGATATCTGTGCGGAATCAACTCAAAGGTTCATTACCTTGTACACAAAAGCTTGTTATTGCACCCTATTTAATATTATCTTCATATTCTTCATATGTATTACTAGGATAAAAAATCAAGATAAAGTGGTTCAATTTGTATTCAGGAGGTCCAGGTTCCAAACTCAGTCCACTGTCCAGCTGCACTGACAGACTATCTCTCTCTCTCTATCTCTCTCTCTTTCTCTCTCTCTCATATGTGAAGAAGGAAATTAACTATTGTTGCTTACTTGTTAGGGTTCTACACTCACTTTGCTTTCATGAAACAGAAAGATAAAAGATTTCTGTCTTCTGAGTTGTTGCGCTGTGTAGTCTGGTCGATGTTAACAAACGTTTCAGAGGTCATACCGCCTCCGTCATCAGGGCGATGAATATTCATATATAATCATATTCATCGCCCTGATGACGGAGGCAGTAGGACCTCTGAAACGTTGGTTAACATCAACCAGACTACACAGCGCAACAACCCAGAAGACAGAAATCTTCATACTCATCGCCCTGATGACGGAGGCAGTATGACCTCTGAAACGTTGGTTAACATCAACCAGACTACACAGCGCAACAACCCAGAAGACGGATATCTTCATACTCACCGCTGTGAGAACCTCAAGTCTTAGAAAGATAAAACTCCAGAACTGACTGTAGAACAATTCTCAGTTTTATTTCCATCTCTTTCCATCAATATCTTACAATATTACCATCAAAATGTCACAGACAAATCCACGTAATCAGACAAAAATGTTATTTAACAAAGACGTCAATAAATACAATATTATTGATACACATTCTATTTAACAGAAGTATACTGTAACGTACTTATCTTATTACAACCTTTTTACATACAAACCTTACTAATTCATATATCAAATTAAATTATGTGGCTCTGTATGTTTCACACTTTTCTTTATTCTTTAAAAGAATCAAAGTTATTTCATTTACGTTGCTTTCAAATGTTAATGCCAGTCATCTGTAACAGTTTACATTACAGTCTTCATTTCAAAACTGCTTTTACGTTACAAGAAGATAGCTGTTAAAATCATAAGTGTTGGTCTGTTCTTACTTTGTCTCTGTGTCATGCAGCACACCCGAGTTCATCAGGTTATTTAGACTATAATTCCTCTCCAGGTCACAAAAACTGAACGTCATCAGTAGCATTCCTATCTGTTACTGCAGCTCTAAGAAGTAAGTTGTTACTATTAGTGTCTCAGAGTATGTCTTTGTTTCCATAAAATGGAAAGAACCTGTCATATTCATAATGTCCGAGTCATCTAAACTTTTCATTTACCAAAAATATAAAAATTGCTTTCATTACTCAAAAATCGTAGTTTTACTTAATAATATGGCATTTCCTGTAAATAATTAAACTCTAGTGTCATTTTGTGTCAAGCTGCTTTCAACGTTTTTATTAATATTGAGCTAGTTTATACGTATTTCTAAGATTACCTTACTATTGCCATTAGTGTTATGGCTTTATTTGCAACCACATGAAAGCTAATATTGCAGTTGGTCTATTAATTGCTATAAATTAATATTCTCAACAACACATTATTTGGAACACTGTTGTGCCATATTTGTCACAATTTATAAAAATCAAGAGACTACAATGGACAGGTCACCTGATTCGGATGGACGACATCCGAATTCCAAAGATGGTGTTCAAAGGAGGTGTTGGAGGAAGAAGACCAGTTGGAAGACCCAGGAACAGATGGGAGGATGCAGTTCAAACGGACGCCACACTGCTCCTGAGGATTGGAAATTGGAAGAAGGCAGCAGAGGATAGGACCGAATGGAAGAGGAGAATTGAGGAGGCCATGGACCGAATACGGACCGGAGAGCCATAGAAGAAGAAGTTGTGACATATTATTTGTTTCTGTTTTGTTTTCATATCAAGTATCCTAAGTCTTCTATAACCATTTCAGAATTCAAGTATTCATTCCTGACTTGTGTTTTTTATTCATAACTATTATCAAGCAAAAGTATTTATTACTATTAAGCATTTTCAAGATAAGTAAATATAAATGTGTACCATGTTTTGTCATCTACAGCCTTTTCACAGTCTTTCAATCTCTTTGTGTCTTGTCTTTGTTGTGTATATACATTTCAAAGTCAAGTTATCTATTCATAACTCCTACTTGTCATACACAGCCATTTTAAGTCTACTCATGAGTTTCATGTGGCATCTTTTAATCATTTCCAAGTCAAAAGTAACAGTTCCCTAAAGTTCTTTGTTATCTGGAGTCGTTTACAAGTCTGAGTTTGTATTTCTGATTCATACATGTCAACTTTCCGAGCCATAGGATTTGTTACCTTCCTATATTATTTTCTGAAACCAATTTCAAGGCAAAGTTAGGAAGTTAGGAAATTTGTATGTGCCACGTATATTTTCAAACGAGATGATATTTTGTTCATGGTTGCCATCTGTAGCTATTTTAATGTCTAATGTGTCTCATGTTTACACTAGATCAGCGTTGTGTTATAATATTGACGGCTATATTCAATAGCATAAATAAAAAAGAATTGTTACTGTCATGTATTAGTAATGGTATTTGTAGGTGTGTACATACAAGATCAGTTCGTACCATTGTCACTTCATAGTTTTAGAAGTCAGTTCACGTTTGTGGATTAGTGCTGGTATTATTTGTCTTTGTGTCTCATTTAAAGTATGTTAATTTTAAAAAGGTATAGTCTCTGTCTTGTTCAGAGTTGGAGCGTAGTCTGCACATGCAATGTTACAAAGTCCCCTCCTACCACTTAAGAGTTTGTAACTGTTATATATTTATTTATCTTAATTAGTATAACATTTAATGGTCATAATCATTCACCCAATTTGTTTTATGTGTTAAAAAGTCATCTGTTACCATTGTTGTGCCATTATGGTCCTAATGTATTAATCTTGAAATTATAGAACGTAACAGGTCAGAGAATTCACCTCAGAGAATTATTGCGGCAGTGCCAAGAAAGGCGTTTAGTGAGACCCAGCATGTTAGAAACACAAGAAAAATATCATAAGAATTATTATATTTTTTACATCCTAATCTGCATGAGTTTTCATTCATTTTTATGCCAAATGAGTCATTCCTGGCTTTGGTATTTTTATGTTAGTCTTTTGTGGCTCCTGTTCTGATTTCACGTACAGTCTCTTAACAGTAAATCAGTTAATCACTATTACATTTTTGTCATCTCTGTCTGAAACTTTACACATCTAACATATGTCAGCGTCATAGTCTTGTCTCTACTTGGCATTTATAAAATTTGTTTGTGGTCTCAGTTTATTTGTTAGTCAGGTTATGGTCATTCAGTAGTCTCATTGACATTTGATTTCAGTTAAGTGTAGATTCATATCGTCATTCAAATGTTACTTTCATTTCTTCTGTCTTTGATGCTAATTAGGTTTACCATTCTGGGCTGTCATTCATCTTTTTCTTGTAGCATTTTCTGTCCTTGTTTTTATGCATGGTTCAGTGGTCCACTGTACTGTCATTCAGGTATTTCTTGTCGTATGATGTCATTATGATATTTGTTTTATGTCAGGATTGCTGAGCTGTAATTCACATTTGATTGCTGTTACATTTTATTTCTTCTCCACTTCTGATTCAGTTTAATTCCATAGTCCCAGACAGCAGATTAAGTTCTACTATTGTTATCACATCTTTGCTCTACATTTAGATTTCTCCATAGTTCATCATAACATTTATTACCCTTAAGTCTTCGTTATCTACTAATCTGACACATATTAAATAGATTTAACAAACTAATAGACTAGTCAAGTTTAACGTCACATTCTTCTAGTTGTGTCACAGTGTCATACTATCAAACAGTTTAAATTCCTAGGGTGTGTTTATGTTTAAGCATTTTATTTCTTGGATTATAACATTCTGTCTATTCCTCAACTTAACTCTTGTTCTTCATTCAATGTAACATGTCCTACTGATCTGAACCTAATGTCACAATCCTTCCTTCATTGTATTTTCTGTCTTAACTTACTTTTATATTGTATGGCCTGTCATGTTAATTCTCTTAAGTTATGATACCTGCTCGTCTTAGTATGTTACAGTCTTATGTTCTTTAAATGTAGTTTCATGTTCTTTGCTTGGTCACTTCAATATTGCAGGATAGTCTTTAGTCTTGTGTCTTTCACTACAGAGTCAGTTTCAAAGAGTCCAGATTGTCACCAAATGTTATACATTTATTATGTCATAATGTTCTCGGTATCTGGCTGGCCACACCTTAATTTTACAGTCAGTATTTGTTAGTTACATGGTACTGTTTTAAAGTCAAAGTCATCCAAATATTTCTTTTGTTGTCTTACAGTATTTGTTTCTGTCATAATTTCATACTCTTTAGTTTTTGTTTAAAATGTTTTGGTCAGTTTTTCATATTCTTGTGTATTTTAGGATGTGGTCATGTTCACAGAGTCCAAATGATCTTTGTTTATTATGAATATTCTCAGTCTTTGGTCACAACTCAGTTATGTAATCAGTTAGTCTATCATATTTTACTGTTGTAATGTCAAAACATCATGTGTTTTTAGGCCAAGCTAGTTTTGTTAGTATCAGTTTATCGTGTAGATACTTATTATATCTTAGTCTTATTTTTTCCCCTTTTAATTTCATGGTCCTTGTCACTCCAGTTTTGTAGTTATTTTATCATCATTTTTTGTCTATTGGGACTGAGTCAGTTCTAATTGTCATCCAAGTATTACTTTTAATGTCACAGTTTTCTCAGTATTTGGTCACAACTCAGTTCTATAGTCAACATTTGTCAAGCATGTGCTACTGCTGTACACTCAAGTCTCATTTGTATTTGAGCCTCGTCAGTTTCTTGGTTCCCATTTTGTCATACAAAAATTCATTTTGTTCTGCTACAGTCCGAAATTATAATTGCAGTTTTTTGATTGTCTTTGCTACCATTGTTCCTTCATGACCAGTCTGTGTATTGTGTTCATTTATTGTCAAAAAGTTGCTGTCAGTTGTGGTTTTTTTCTACTTAGTGAGATTTCAGGTTCTCATGGCAGCAAGTATGAAGATATTGCCCAATGAGTCAACACCCAGAAGGCTGTTATCTTCTAATTTTATGTTGTTTAGGTTTCTAATTATGAAACTTAATTTAGTAATTAAAATTACTTTGTCAAGTCCATCTGTCTGCATTGTTATTTTAGGTTCAAAGTCCTTTGGCTGTCATTAGTCTTTATCATACAGAAACAGATAATTTAAGTCCCTGTACTATGTGGCTGCCAGCTCAGGGTAACAGTTCAGCATTGTGCCAGTACAATGCTCAGCCAGGTGGACTGTGCGTGTGAAGGGTTGCATAGTGGATAAATCTTATTGTCTTTCATTGTCATTGTCTGAGTGTTGTCTCATTGTCAGTTGAACTTCTTAGTATGTGAACTGTATATTTGCATGAAACTGAATAATATTATGATTTTGTCAGAATTAACTCTGTCTTATTCTAGTCTTCATTTAACCTCACAGTCATGAAGTGATCAGTTAAGTGTCAGTATTGTTACAACAATAGTTTTTCTGTATCATGTAAATTACAGTCCAACTTTTACAATTGCAACTCAAGATTATTAACTGGCCAATCAAGACTATCAAGACTGTTCTGTAAAAGACTAATTACATATTTGCATTTCAAGTTCAACCACAAAATTTAAATCATCCTGTGATATTTACAGTTCTGTTTGTATGATATGCAGTGAGCTTGATGTTTCAACATGAAACAATGCTGACAAACAATAAAAATATATAATTTTTCATATTATAAACCATGTAAATTCATTCTAAAAACATCATGTAGTGTGGACAAGCACATAAAACTCAGAGTTTAGAAGTGAACAAGATCCAGGTGCCTGTATTCCAACAGATTGTGTAAAGTTATCAAAGTACATTTTATATTCCTATTTTATGAAATACTGAAATTCCCAAAGTTTCTTTATTTAAAATTGAAACTATGTAAGACAGAACCCAATAAAAGCGTGAGCATTAAATTATGTTGTTTTTAATCCTTGTGATTTAAGAGCATCTTATGTTGAATGCATCTGAATTTTGTTGTGCCAGTCCATGACATTGTATATTACTGTAACACAGCAAAATGCTGATTCTGTCACAAAAGTAACCTAATGAAGATGACAATGTTAAATGGCTAGTATTATAAGTTATCTAACAGCCTTAATACAAGTGTATCAGGCGATGAAGATGTTAACAGTGTGATGTGATATTACCATATTCTTGCCTTACAAATTTATTTCATTAAATTTTAAAGTAGAATAATTCACAGTCTTAGAAACTTTTGAATCAAGTATCACATACAAGAGTAAGAAACTTAAAAGTATGAACAAATCTGCATTTCACAACATAATAAACACCATTCACAATAAAAGAAAATGGGCATTAAAAGCCAGAGATATGCTGTAATGTGAAATAGCTCATGGCATTAAAACAGTGGATGAGAGATCTTATCTATAACAACCGTTATATTACATGATGTGATGCTTTCATGGCGGCTTTTTTTAATAAAGTCTTCTCGGGCTATCAGCCATCACCATCTAACATGGCTGATAGCCCGAGAAGACTTTATTAACCATTGTATTAAATTCCTATTACTCTGGATATACCTGAGATGTTTTTATAAGAATGAATATAATTTTAAGAATTATTCACCAGTATTGGTTACTCTATAAAGACTTGTTATTGTGAAACTGTTTTGATATGTGAACACATATTTGGCACTGTATTCTATAAACAAGTACACAGGAACATGACAACCTGATACGAATGTCATTGTATAATAAGATCACATTAGTGACTTAGTACTAAATTATTTAAATCAACACATGTATCAAAAACTAGTTTTCTGCTGTGTGTTTAAGATTTTCACACCTTTTACCAAAGACACTGTTCTTATAATTTCTATTGTGTGTCATGACTGAGTGGTATTACAGAGGTCCCTAGTTCAAATCTTTGCCCAGAGACTGGATATCCTGATTGAGGGTTGTCATGGTTTTTTTCGGTCAATTTAGTCAAATATAAGATGTAAAACTTTCAAAGAAACGTTTCTTGTTAACAAGAAAACTGTACATTTAACCATACAAAACTGGTGAAGGAACAGTACTAAGGACCAAAATGTTGACTGAAATGTGTTACTTTTTGGACAGTCTGTAGTAGACAGTGTACCTATTGGATGAAATATCTATGACTAAATGTGCTGTTATTACAACAATAGTCCAATATTAACACCAGTCTTAGTCATATAAGTAGCATAAATGAAAGTCAAATGTCCTGGTAGAAATATCAACGCTAGGACTTGTGTTACTGTACAGAAGAAGGCAACAGAGATGTTAAAAATTATGTAATGGCAGCTTATTTAGTAACTAAAAGAATAAAACTGATACCTGCATATATGTCTATCTGTATATATATGTATATTTTCTGTATCCTTATTTGTACCAGCTGCTGTGAGATCTGTCGTAATGTTATGCTGAAAGACATCCTGGTATGATTTCTTGTGATATTCGGTGGGATTTATTTTGTATATTATAAAATTAGTGAAATGCAGGAAAGAGTTCTTCACAGCCAGAGTTACTAATACATTATATTGTGATATATTTGTACAAATGCCATCTTCTGCTTGAAACATAAATCTAAACTCTTAGATCTTAGATTCTTATATAAAAAATATAGAGCAGAATGTTTCTTAAGAAACTGACACTCATATGGCTGTTCCAGTATTGCACTTCCTTTTGTGGAATATGAAGGTTTATCATCACCTTTTTCATTAAAAAAGTTGATCTCAGTTTATAATTATATATTTTTTAATTTAAAATGGAGGTGCATTACACAAAAAATATGAAACTATTGTGAAATTCTAAATTAACATTTATAGAGTCTACTATGTAGATGTTTAAACAAGTCATGAATGTGAAGTAATTATTCAGTATAAATAAAGTGACTATTTAACAATGTAATCATTGCTCATAATTTTTATATGAGGTCTGATGATATACAACTGAATGATGCACCTTCATATTTAAAATATTTAGTAATCTTACATCACCATTCCTTTTAATAAAGGAAAATGTGTATCGTTAAATGAATAAAGACTCTGGATGTATTGTGCATTCCAAAGAACATGATCAAGGGATTCAAAATATAGTAAGTAAAATCTTGAAAAATGAACCTGTCTTTATAAATATCTTATAAATAACATCTCATCTATTTCATTCAGAATTACAGTTTACTGAGTATCTGTATTATGCAGCACTGTAATGTGTCGTGGGAGTGGGGGGTGTCACTGTTCATGTAATTTTTAAGAGGTGAATGGTCAAAAGTTTTCTAGACAACATATTAAAAAGTAATACATTTCTTACACATAATATTTGCTATCATTGTGTTCTCAAAATATATAAGTAGACACAAGAATATAACAATTATATTCTGAAATAAATATGAGATCATGAAACACTTATGATGTATAAAGATAAATAACCTGCATCACCTCTACATATGCGAGTATGAGATAAATTTTGTTTGAATTAATTTATATAGAATACAACTGGATAGTATATTTCTACATTCAAATCCAATATCAAGGGGGATGTAATAAATCTGTTCTTCACTTTTAAACATGACAGACAATGGCCAGCATTGTCAAAATAGTTTCTTGACACAAGTTAAAATAATCTGTATGTTTAAAATTTGGCATTTTATGTTTAAATTAAACCATTTTGTTACACAGTCTTACTTGATAACACTATTTATGACAAGTAATGTTTTCTTCTACCCAATTATAGAGCTTCACAAAGAATAATAATTTATGTAATTTATTGTCTTTTGGTCCATTTATATTTTCTTCCACCACATTTATTCGTGTTATGTACTAATTTCTGACTTACCATATGACATCTCACACCAGCCCTCTTCCCGTTTCTTCATTTTCAAATTTCATTGGCCGGGGAAGTTCTTTCAGAGCCATTGGATCACTGGTTATTGATGGCATTTCTGGGATAATGAAAGAACCATCATCCTCTTCTTTGGTGAAGATCCATTCATTCTCATTTTCAGTAATGATAGCATATGCTGTGTAAGACTCAGCATAGGTGGTGTTGGGGGTTAATTCATGTATGGTCATGTCAGTTTTTAGAACAGTCTCTTGTGATGTTTCAGTGTTTGTATTTATATTCATATCCTGCTGGGTTATTTTAGTTACTGTGGTGGTTTGCTCACCAGTGTTCATCTGTATATCTGTGTTGGTGTTGATAATATTGTTTACATTTGTGACATTAGTGTCGATTTTGTCTATGTGGAAAATAGTACTATCATATGCTGTCTTAGTTTGTTCCGTGATAGATTCTACATTTTCATTGGCAGTATTATTATTTCTTGTGTTATTTGGTTGTGTACCTAAATTTATATTAATGTTATCCAGATGAATGTTGTTTTCTGTAATGCTGTGTTCTATGCCAATAGAACTGTTAGTACTGTTATTTGTGGTTTTTGTACTGTCTGTCTTATTTTGTTTTGCAATGGCAGTAATAATAAAATTGTTGTTATTCTCAAGATTGGTGATATTAATTTTGGAAGAGTTAGTAATATTATCCATGGTGTTACCGAATTCTGTGTTGTTGAGTTCTGTTGTATTTCTAGCATTCATGATTGTAGTGGTATTGTCAGATTTTGTTATATTTTCTGTCACTATGGCATTAATGTTTTCCATGGTGGTAACTTGCTTCTCACTGTGAAGTATACTGGTGTTGGGAACATTATTATTAACATTAGCATCCTCAGTTATATTAATCCTGCTACTAAAAACCATTATTTTTCTCTTCTCATCTGGTGTTGCATTGATGCTGACAATATTACCTTTAATGGTCACAAAGTTTACAGTTTCATTGTTTTCTGAAGTGGTATCTCCCGTGAATGTAGTGAGGCCAGCATAGGAGTTGACACTGTAAGCACGTAAAAATATAGACATAACCCATAAACACTAGTGGATGTCTTCAAATATAAATTAATCATTAAATATGTTGCCATACTGTTTACTGTTCTTATAAATATTGTATTTCTTTATAGTCAAATTGTATTTATATGCTATTAATGTCTCAGTGAATCACTAACAGAAGGTTATACAAAGATTTTTAAATCACAACTTAAATTCTTTCCTTTAAAGTTTATATTGCATCAACTCAACTCACTTACAAATATTGTAATGAATGAAACAGCAGTTGTTGTAGTGTACTGTAACTGTTAAATATCATGATTAGTTGGAATGTTTATATTCTGTTATAAACTACATGATACTTACTCATCTGGTGGGACAATGTCACTGTCACCCAGTGAGGTCCTAGGTTCCTGCTCCATACTTGAGCTATTGGTTTGCATCATGGAAGACTTGAAATCAAGGAGTCCTGGGTCCAATGTCGCTTTCTCAGGACTTCTGTGTGCATTACCCACTACTTTGCTGTCTTCTAGATAATAGTAGGTGGGTTCATTGAACACTTCTATGTAGCTGTATGAAGTATGATGGTACCCAGATGATGGCTTCTCATAGCTTGGCCTGCCTGCTGACGAATAAGTTCCAGAGTAGTGCTGTTCCTTGTATGGAGGCCTGGTAACAACTGAGTAACTTCCATCTTGATGACTGCTAGGTTTAGATGGATGTGGTTTGTATTTGTTGTAATCCAATGTACTGGGAATGTCTTTATTATCAGAAGGTTTCGTGAAAGATGTATGTTCATAATGAGGTTTTGAGCTGATTGTAGTATGGGGTATGTTAAAGGTATATACATATTGTGGCTTGTAATGACTTGTATGTTCATTATATGGCTTAGATTGACTTGTATGCCCATAATGAGGTTTAGAATTAGGAAATTCATAGTGTGGTGTGGACTGTGTTGTATGTTCATAATGAGGTTTAGAATAACTTGGATACTCATCATATGGTTTGGAATGTGTTGTGTGTTCATAATGAGGTTTAGAATAACTTGGATACTCATCATATGGTTTGGAATGTGTTGTGTGTTCATAATGAGGTTTAGAATAACTTGGATACTCATCATATGGTTTGGAATGTGTTGTGTGTTCATAATGAGGTTTAGAATAACTTGGATATTCATCATGTGGTTTGTGATGTGGATATTCACTGTGTGGTTTATCAGTTGTTTGCTGTTCATAATGAGGTTTATGGTGAACTGGTTCATAATGGTTGCTTGGATATTCTTTATGTGGTTTGTGTGGATTATGTCCTCCATAATGTTCAAATATACTTAGATGGTTATGACCTCCAGTTGGTTCTGTTTCACTCTGTGAATACTCTTCTTGATGGTGATGATGATAATCACCTGGAGGTCTGGTTTCCAGCTTACTGGGAAGTTCTGCACCATGATCATGGCCTTGATTATGATTATTATAATCTGGCTGTTTATGCTCCATTGCAAGATGAGCTGAATTACTTGGTTTGTATCCACTGGGCCTTTTACTTGTGGGTCTTTCTGTCTGTTGGAAGCTTTCATCTATGAGATATGTTGGCTTATGTTCATCAGGTTTTGGATGCATGGATGATGTGTACAAGTTCTGAGGTTTAGTAGGTTTACCTTGGAAGTTAGTGTCTATCAGATATGTAGGTTTGTTTTCTTCATGGGGTTTAGGTGGTGGTTGTAATTCAATATCAATGAGGTAGCTTGGTTGGTGTTCTTCATATGAAGGTGTTGTTGTATGGTGGTAACTTGGGGTTGGCTTTTGGTAGGATGGATAGCTTGGTGTGTGGTGTGATGATAAGTGCTGATGGTCTGTTGGTTTCTCATGATGGTATTGTTCTTGCTTACGATGTTCTGTCCATGGCTTTAAATCCAAATGGAGGATATATTCGCTGTCACATGGCACCCGATAATTGCTGAAATAAAACAATTTTATAATTTCTGCATTTTAATTTCTTGTAGGTCTGTACTAATCAGAAACATGATTTTAGGCCCCTGTGAAAGGCAAAAGAGCTACACAATGAATCTGACTTGCTAACTTATCTAGGTGGTCTTACTTTTCTTGTAATTTGAATGCAGTTCAACTCACCGGTCATTATCAGCAGTAAGGAACACAAAAGGCTGCAGTGTGTCAATACCATCTAGATTATCGCACAGCATTCGTGCAAGAGTTACGCGTCGAATCTGCTGCAGCTGAGCCAAAGTGAAGCTGGACTCAAATCCTCCATTTTCATACCAGAATCTGTCACCTATATAAATCTGTGATTATTGCAGATGTAAGCTAAAAACATTGTGGAAACTTGTAGAAGAAAATAAAACAAAAACGTCTGAATGTTTGATACCTGCAGAAAAGTGCAGTATTCTTGAAGCCAGTTCTTTCATCAGTCTTTCAACTTTTCATATATATCATTATAACTTTGTAATTATACAGTTTCTACCAAACTGAATGAAATAAATACACAAAGTTAGAGCACAAAATTTGTTAAAAATTGGACATTAGAACATAAAATTCTGGATGTTGAACTTTTAAATAACAGATTAATAACAAAGTCATGTCAATGTGGGCTTCAAGGTAGTAATGCCATGTAGATATGTGGATAGATACCAATGTTTCAGAGATCATTACTGCCTATGTTTTCAGGGCTAAATATGGAGGCAGTATGTTCTCTGAAATGTTGGTGTGTGTGTATCTATTTACCTATCTACAAGTTCACATTTTAGTGCAACCCACAAAAACATTATCAACATTTTACTGCAATGGTAATCTCAAATAAAAAAGTCATTTCATAGCAAATGTTACATGATATGTCCAGAATGTAAATGAACTAACCACCAGGAATGATGAGTGCAATTATAAGTTACGTAATGAAATATATTCATTTAAATTTAATGTTTATTTTTACCAAAATCTTTAATCTTCTGATTGGTGGTATTCCTGTTCTTAAAATTATTATTCTTATATCATACTGCATATGTACTCCTAGGGAATAATGTCTGAGTAATAAGAAAACTTACCAAAAGAAATTAGAGTTACAGTTATTAGTAGATCAAGGTTGAATGACAAACTCTGGCATCAGTTTATTTTAATGAACCAGTTACAGTGGTCAAGATGGAGAAACAATTGTCATAATAATAAAAACATATGACATTTTATATTTTTTGGATAATTTCATGCTGTGAACAATCTGTATGTCCAGAAACAGAACTGAATGTTACCTTTCCTCAGGTTGCTGAACTGCTGGGCTAGGATGCAGGCAAAGGTGGAGCCCACAAGTCCACCTGATACTGGACGCTCTGCCATTGCACCAGGAAACAAATCAATGTCATCCACATCCCTGGAAACCAAGTATGTATGTTTCTGTATTAATAGATTTGGCTATTTATGTTCCTACAGATTTAGATATACATTTGATTCCCTTCAGAGAAAAAAAAACTCTTTGGGACAAGCCGTATGATGTCGTAATAAACTCTTTTCTCTTGGTTAATTTAAAATTCCTACATTAATTTAAGCCATAGCCAAGTTTTTTCCAAATATTTTGTATTAAAATAATATTCCATATTACAAAATCTGTACTATTAGAATGCATTACAGAAAGATCTTGTATACTGTAAGTTGAGACATGTCCCTTGATAAAAAAATTTTAATTTCTATGAATTGCTTTTGGTGAGCCGGACTAGCTCAGTCAGTATAGTGACTGGCCACACGATCGGGGTTCGATCCCCAACCGGGGTAGAACACTTTACCTCCAGCCTCAGTGTCAAGACCAGCTCTGGGGGGGGCCTACCTTGCCTCCTATCCAATGGGTACCAGGGTCCTTTCTCAGTAAAGCGTGGCCAGGGCATGATGCCAACCAGTCACCCCCTCCTAGTGCTGAGGTTAAGAATGAATAAGAGCTATACCTTCTCTCTTCCCAAGTTCCTACATGGCATATAGTGGGACAGCTTTACTTTTATGAATTGCTTTTACATTATTAAAGGTGTATATAGTTGCAAATTAGGACACTTTATTGCATTTAAGAATAAGACTACTGCCATTAACACTCACAAATCTTCACACCAATTATCTGTAGGACACATTTGACAATGTACTGTTAACATATGTGATGTTCAACAAATTTTCAGAGTTTATTCTCTATGATAAAACAGACCATCCCATGTTCCTTGTTCTTTTCCTAAGTAATAAGAAGTACTTAGACTTACCTGTATATGCGTTTGAGTTTGCGCTGTGTCTCTTCTGACATTACTTGGAGCAAATTGGGCCAGTCGGTGAGTGGCTGAAGTCCACAAGGCTCACGCCAGGCATTATATGGAGCCAACCCATGATCACGCCCTCGCTGGATATTCAGAGCTGCCAAATCCATGCCGTACCCATAACCTACAAATATCCATAGTAGTCTTCTCAGTCTCCATCAGCCTCAGAGCAAGAGCATTAGACAGTAAATGACAGAAACAAACAAACAAACAGAACCAAGATTGGCTTGAAACATTCTTTGATGATGTTTATTTATCATGAATTTGCCTGAGAGTATCACTGATATCTTACATATATTTAAGTACTGCTTATTGAACAGCTTTCTCTCAGAAATATACACTTTCAACAAAAGTGTAAAGGAAATATTTATAGAGCTGTTATTTGAGCTACCACATATGCTGTGCGCACAAACAATATGAAATATAAATCCTAGTACATACTTGGAGTCTGGAACAGGTGATTTGTCAGCTCCTCTGTGATGAACTCGTCTCGTTTCTGTGCTGGTTGCTGACATAGTCCCAGCAGCAGTCGGTCCACTGACCCTATGTTGTAAAGATTCGCTGGGTTTGTCAGCTCCTCATGCAGGGAAACATCTGAAAGGGTGCACATTATCATTATCTGTTAATCACTGATTGTCATCCAAAATGGTACTTTACTCAAATAGATTTAACATTTTACCTCCCAAAACTTGATTCCGTGGACCACATCAACAGAAATAATGTGTTGGTATGACTAGTTGAAGGGGCCTAAAATTAATCTTGATAACAGTAGATAATGGGGCTATGGTGAAATGACATCAGATCCAGGAAACCAATAGTGTATCTTAATCTGTTGTTAAATAAGTGAAAAGCCCAAGAATTATAATCCACAAACCCAACTTTAAATGGCATAACAAGATGGAGGAGAAATCGAGGAAATGAAAGAGATGGAAATAACAAATGTTTACATTTGCCTTGGTGAGCTTTCATACATTTAAAACATTTCAAAGGCATGTCCCTTGATAAAAAAATTTTAATTTCTATGAATTGCTTTTGGTGAGCCGGACTAGCTCAGTCAGTATAGTGACTGGCCACACGATCGGGGTTCGATCCCCAACCGGGGTAGAACACTTTACCTCCAGCCTCAGTGTCAAGACCAGCTCTGGGGGGGGCCTACCTTGCCTCCTATCCAATGGGTACCAGGGTCCTTTCTCAGTAAAGCGTGGCCAGGGCATGATGCCAACCAGTCACCCCCTCCTAGTGCTGAGGTTAAGAATGAATAAGAGCTATACCTTCTCTCTTCCCAAGTTCCTACATGGCATATAGTGGGACAGCTTTACTTTTATGAATTGCTTTTACATTATTAAAGGTGTATATAGTTGCAAATTAGGACACTTTATTGCATTTAAGAATAAGACTACTGCCATTAACACTCACAAATCTTCACACCAATTATCTGTAGGACACATTTGACAATGTACTGTTAACATATGTGATGTTCAACAAATTTTCAGAGTTTATTCTCTATGATAAAACAGACCATCCCATGTTCCTTGTTCTTTTCCTAAGTAATAAGAAGTACTTAGACTTACCTGTATATGCGTTTGAGTTTGCGCTGTGTCTCTTCTGACATTACTTGGAGCAAATTGGGCCAGTCGGTGAGTGGCTGAAGTCCACAAGGCTCACGCCAGGCATTATATGGAGCCAACCCATGATCACGCCCTCGCTGGATATTCAGAGCTGCCAAATCCATGCCGTACCCATAACCTACAAATATCCATAGTAGTCTTCTCAGTCTCCATCAGCCTCAGAGCAAGAGCATTAGACAGTAAATGACAGAAACAAACAAACAAACAGAACCAAGATTGGCTTGAAACATTCTTTGATGATGTTTATTTATCATGAATTTGCCTGAGAGTATCACTGATATCTTACATATATTTAAGTACTGCTTATTGAACAGCTTTCTCTCAGAAATATACACTTTCAACAAAAGTGTAAAGGAAATATTTATAGAGCTGTTATTTGAGCTACCACATATGCTGTGCGCACAAACAATATGAAATATAAATCCTAGTACATACTTGGAGTCTGGAACAGGTGATTTGTCAGCTCCTCTGTGATGAACTCGTCTCGTTTCTGTGCTGGTTGCTGACATAGTCCCAGCAGCAGTCGGTCCACTGACCCTATGTTGTAAAGATTAGCTGGGTTTGTCAGCTCCTCATGCAGGGAAACATCTGAAAGGGTGCACATTATCATTATCTGTTAATCACTGATTGTCATCCAAAATGGTACTTTACTCAAATAGATTTAACATTTTACCTCCCAAAACTTGATTCCGTGGACCACATCAACAGAAATAATGTGTTGGTATGACTAGTTGAAGGGGCCTAAAATTAATCTTGATAACAGTAGATAATGGGGCTATGGTGAAATGACATCAGATCCAGGAAACCAATAGTGTATCTTAATCTGTTGTTAAATAAGTGAAAAGCCCAAGAATTATAATCCACAAACCCAACTTTAAATGGCATAACAAGATGGAGGAGAAATCGAGGAAATGAAAGAGATGGAAATAACAAATGTTTACATTTGCCTTGGTGAGCTTTCATACATTTAAAACATTTCAAAGGAACACACTGTCTCCATCTTCAGGACTGAAAATGGCTGCCTCAGCCATCCAAAACATTTGCATTTGCCTGTAAGTCCACACATTGTTAAGACACAGATCATCAGCATCTCTTCCATGGGAACCTCAGATCTCATAGTAAGAAAATAAGTTGCAATACAGTGTGGAACCAATCCAATAGCTTTGAAATTCAGAAAAAAATTAATCATTCCTGATAGAGTATCATGTTTCAGCATATGTGGACCTCAGTGGATTAATTTTCTGCATACCATATTTCATAAGTAATAACCATGTAATAAAATTTTCAGTGGGTATTACAAAATGTAATGACCATCTGTTGAGATATTATGGGATACTCACTTGGAAACAATCTGTGATGACTTCTGTCACATCTCATGAGACTGTGCTGCACTAGACTGTGTCCAAACCTGAAGGCCGCTGTGCCAAATGCATTAGCTGCAGTAGGATTGGTCTTGATGTCATATCCTGTAAAGTACCCTTTCTTCATCAGTTCCAAATCAAATAGTTTCATGACGTCTTGGCCTGAAAATTGAGAACAGAAATATTCAGTACTTACCATAGTAGATCATAAGTAACAGCTTGTGGGTTCCTCATAATCTGAATTTGACATTCACTTATAAAAGGTATTAAGTAATGTCTGATTATTAAAACATTTTAAGACATCATATTTATATTTTAGAGAATGAACAATTATGGCTTCTTTGAGACATAAGATTAGCTTGATACAGTTTTGAAAACTATTGCAAACAAAATAGGTTTGCATGAAAACAATTAACAAAACAAATGTTCTGGGTTATTGCATAATGTATTCTGGTAGAAACTGACCAACGTGTCAGATGTCCTTACTGCCTCTATCATCAGGGTGATCACAGAAGACAGCTATCTTCAAAGAGAAGCCAAATTAAAATGTTTGAAAATAACCGAATAAACATGTAATTACCAAGGACAATGGGTAGGAACTCTTTGAAAGTTATGTGCTGCATGATGGCTCCAATGATCCTTCGTGTTTCCTGGTACAGCTTCTCATCCCGCCAGTGTGGGTTAATGTGACTAAGCTCTGTTGCAATTTTGTTATGAGCTCTCATAAAAATAGTGTGCAGGGCTATGAGTCCAGGCTGCTCATTCACACGCTTATCTCCTGCATGGAAACACCTGAGGTGACCTGACTGACCGCGGCACAAGTCTGCCTTGTAGGTTGCAGCCGGCAGCAGGGGCAGCCGGTACTGCACTCGGCTGTATTTTAGCAGACCTGTAACAAAGAAACTTATGAAAGTGAATTGCAACAAGATTGAAAATAACATTCTACAGATGTTCTTCACACCACATCACATCGGTCATTGTTGCCTTAGGCCATTCTTGCAGTGTGAAATACAGTGTTCCAATTATGACCTATTCATGCAGGTTGCCCACCCCTGTAGGTACTGATAAATGTATGACAATCCTAACTCTTGTTTACAAGTCATATTACGTAAAATACAGTAAACTTGTTTAGCCCTTGGACAAAAACAATGTTAAATGGAGATGGCTGTCTTCTGGGTTGTCACCCTGATGATGGAGGCAGCAGGGACCTCTGAAACGTCGATAAACTTCTACTAGAGTACATGGCTCAACAACCCAGAAGACACCCATCTACGGACTCACCGCCGTGAAAACCTCAAATCCTACAATGTTAAATGGAATCATTTGATGACTCTACATCAATACATTGACAAGCACTGAAGATGCTGAATGGCTGGATGATATATCCTTACCATTTCTGAACATCCTGAGATCATCCTCTTCTTTCTCTGAGCTACCATACACTGCAGAAGCATCAATGAATGAAGTCACTTGGTTGATCTGGTCACGAGGCCCAAGTGAACAACCCACACGAGAAGTTGGACTGCTCCGTACAAATTCCAAACAGCAGATACCATAATGACTGTAAAACCAGTCATCAGGTGGAACAGCGATAGCCATACAGTCTGGGTGCTGTGGGTAGAATCATTGCATTTACTGAGCGACAAAGTTTGTTGTACATTGAATACTTGAAAGTAAAACACAAGTAGGGAACAGGAAATTTGGTGGCAAATAGAAAATTATATGGTACAATAGTGGAAAGGTGCAGTAGTAGGTTGTGTGTAAAATAGGGGTTGTTTTAGAATGATATAGAAACAAAAGCTGAATTGACAGATATAACTTACTGTAAGGTCCGGTGGCTGGAAGTCACGGCCTCCATCAGTGCAGCATTTGGGTACTGAGCCATTGAATCCTCGGCTCTGTGCTGAAGCTGTATAAATTATAAACACGAGTGAATGCAGTACTTAATGTAGGAAGTGTCTTCATCCATGCATTATATATTTTTCCTTTCTAAGAAAGTGAATGTATTAGAATGACACAATTATAATTACAGAAAATAAGTTGCAAGTTTCACTCGCTCAAAGACTTTTCTTCTTAATGTGGAAAAGTATAACTGTGTAACTGTGACTTAAAAATGTTGCTGTATTTTTAACGTAAGTGCAAACGGGCGTTTCTCTTGCATATACCAGTGTCTTTTTCACAAAACACAAAATGAAAAGAAAGTAAAAATGTATTGGTCTTAAGAATGAGATAATGATATAAGTAGAAACTTAGACTTAGATTTCTTTTTCATTTTAATTACTTCTTAAAGAATGTGTTCCCCATTTTGTCACTCACACCATTTCTTACATGTAGGTTATATGCGCCAGTCCTACAGTACTTACGCATAATTATTGTACTTTAGAAACATAAACATACTTACATGTGAGGTCATGGTCTAGGAACTGTCCCCATTGCATCACCATATGTGTGATGGATGTCAGGTCACTGTCTCTGTCGCTGTGGATCACTGAGCTTACTAAACGGGCACTGGGAAGTGGGCCCCCTGACACCGACACTCGTATTCGCTCTAAACCTGGAACAGTTCCATACATATAGTCTGATTAAAGTAATATTTTTCAACAATCTGTTCATAAATAATGCCACCATTTAAAACAGATACAAATATAAATACCATAATTTTGTACATTGTTATTCTGAATCTCTCTGATTGAACTTCTCCTTACATTCTCGTCTTATTTTAATCAACATCAACTGAGCAGGTCTGTGTATCAATAATGCTCTAAATTTGTATGTGGATGGAGTCCGGTTTTACTCAGAGTTCGTCGGCTATGCCCAAAGGAACTTCAGAAAGTTGCCAGATTTTCTGCTGAGCAACACCGTAAACCTTCTCCTGAATAAGTGTGAGGTTAAGTTTAAGGTTTACATGCGTCATGTTTGTGTTTTTGATTAAAATATATAATAAAATTCAGGTCAATACACAAAACTTTATTTGGATGTTAAAATTTAAAATTTAAATGTTAAAATTTTAAATTTGCGCCATTCATCACTATAAGGATGTTACATTAGAGCGCTTTCATTCATTTCACAACATGTTTCGATGTAATACATCATCTTCAGGTGTTGTTTTTTAAAACTATTTTATATTATAATGCATGCCTTTCAATATATATATTGAATTGAATATATTGAAAGGCATGCATTATAATATAAAATAGTTTTAAAAAACAACACCTGAAGATGATGTATTACATCGAAACATGTTGTGAAATGAATGAAAGCGCTCTAATGTAACATCCTTATAGTGATGAATGGCGCAAATTTAAAATTTAAAATTTTAACATTTAAATTTTAAATTTTAACATCCAAATAAAGTTTTGTGTATTGACCTGAATTTTATTATATATTTTAAGTGTGAGGTTGTTTTGTGCCACAAATTACAACAATGTCTCGTCCATTACAATTTCAGTCAGTACGTACCATCCCTGTAGTGGGACGGTAAGAAGCGATGGAGGGGCATCATGGAGGCTCCCCACCAGGGGTGTGCGGGATTGTTACAGCGACCATCAGCAGTCCTGTAGCGACCACTGGAATCTGGACAGACTGCAAGCTGATCACTCCGCAAGGGACATTGGTCGTGTAGTGCCGTGTGAAGCAGCGAGATGGTCGGAAACTTGAGACCTTCGACCGCGGCGCGGCTTTCCACTCCAGAGTACAGACTGCAACAGTGGCGTAAGTTGGACTTTACGTTCTACTAACGAAATTAAGAAATCCCTGTCTAAAACGAAACTCGGGTCAAACAGAAACCTGCTTTTATCGACAATACTTCACGATTCGTGTCCTCGGGTTGCAGCTGGAGGAAACTGCCCCGCGATAAGGAGGGTTGCTGTGAATATATAGCCAATGACAGTCAACGAGGGGTGACCCTCCAGCTTGGAGGGTAGTAGAGAAACTAACAGTCCTTCGCTGTAAATCAATATATAATACGCCACGAAACTTGTCTCGGTTGAACGGAGCTGTTGGGCTTCAAGGTATAATTCACTTACAGAATTGTGAACCTTAGAGTTCCGTAACAGCTGGGGATTTCTTGACAGGGTGAAACCGTAAATTATTGTTCAAGGAAGATGGTAGTAAAATGTTATTGTAATTGATTTTATGCCTTACCATGATGTCGTTTGGAGATCAGTGATTCAAATCGTCGCCACAAAACTTCCTTTTTCAGTACGAAACAGACAACGGTAACTTTTGTAGTCAGAACCGTTACTGCATCGCCGTCTCGACTCTCTCGTCCTGAAGTCTCGTCTCCAACTGAGATGAGGCAGGATGACGTCGTCGCGTTTATATTAAGTCTCGGGTCAGTTCACATCTGTACTACGTGCCGCTTGGTTACCACAAGCTATGACGTTCTCGTGACGGACGTGACACATCTTCGTCAGGTTTGGTACACTCAAGGAAGTAGATTTTCGGAGCAGCAATTCCGTGACTTGAATCGGCGTGAGAGTTTTTTTGTAACCGTCTTTTCTACTCTGTTTTGAATCAATGATTACAAGTTCAGGATGTAGCCTATTTTCCATGGAAATGAAAGTAAATGAGACCGCCTTGTCAGATATGTCTTCTTCTTAAAGAGTTTCTCAGTTTTAAGTAATATTCGTTCCTTCATAATCTTCTCGTCTGTTATCTAAAACACACAACACTGTAACTTCCTGTTGGTTTGCATGCGTGTGAATCTTGGTCCCTCACGTGAAAGGTGAGAACACGCTGCTGAGAAGAATGTTAGGAGTTACAAGGGATGAAGTGACAGGAGGTTGAAGACATTATATAATTATGTGCTTCATAATTTGTGCTCTACCAGATCTTATTAGGATGTTGAAATCATGGGCGAGTCATGTAGCGCGCGTGGTGAAAAATAAGGGGAGTCGCTAAGAAGTTATTGAGAAACAAAAGTGATAACGCGAAGAATCGCGAACGTCTTGCGGCTGTGTCCACCACAGATATAATATTCATCAAATGGCAGTTTAAGTGACCCATGAGGTGGAAAGTCAGATGCAGTTATCCGCATCATAATACTCTGGTGGTTTATTTTACAGGTACGTTGCCACATTTTAAAAATTGAAGATTAGTAATTTCTATTTTATATTATAACAGTGTTTAAACTTCATGGGGCTCGGAGATCGCAGTACAGTAACTAGTCGACGGCCTAAACGATGGGGCGTAGGGACTTGTCTGTTCGCCATATCCTCCAGATCGTCTCTGGCGTCCATCCACTCCTCCTATCCAATAAGCATAAAGCATAGGGACCTTTTTCTCAGGGGGCAAAACTTCCAGAACACGAAGCTACTCGTTCACCATAATATACGTAGTAGGTTAAGAATGCGTGGAGCCAAGACCCACGCCTCAGGCCCCACGCGGCTATAAAGGTAACTGTACGCTTAGCCTGAAAATATTCTCCGTTTCACAAACAACTCAACAAAAACTTTGTACCAGGCAATCAGAACTCACAGTTTCATTCTTTCGTCTTGATATTGTAATTCAGTGAGACAATCTCGTCACAGGTCTTGTTTGTTAAATCGGCTGGAAAGAAACTGGTTGTAGACACATTTGTTGTGTTTCTCTATCCAATTTGAGTGTCATTAATTTGATATTTTATATCGCTGAAACTGTAAACAGATACTAATTTCACGGAACAGTCTTCTTGAAAAGCTAATAGTCGCTTAACTGGTCAGATATGTTCTAACTTTTATGGAATCCGAAGGCTCATTACCGTGTTCACAATTTTCTAATTTAAATAATGATAAAGTTAATAGCTTAGTTTGTACACCGCCGAATGGCATGGCGATTAAAGAATTATGAATTGGAAGGAAGCGGTCGTGGACAATTTTTTTTTTACAGTCCAGGCTTTCGCCTGGGACTGACGAAAACTACTAAAAGCCCAACTGAGATAATCTGTCTCCGTGCCCAGCTTTGAACCCGGAACTCCGAAATACGAAGCAGTAGTGCCACCACATATCATGCAGAAACTTTCGTGCTTGCGGCAGGATTTTGACACAGGCGCTGTTTTCTAGTGACTGATGCGTCATTTTGCGCTTGTTTGGTCGAGATTCATAGCGCAATCGGCTAATGTTCTTGTTTTAGTCAAATACATTTTGCGGTTTGGATGGTGAATTGGCTTCCGGGATAGAAAGTAAGAATTTTCAGCTTGTGACTTCCTGTCTGTCAAGGGAGGTGTTAGCAGATACCACACCAAAAATTCTCTTGGCTTTTTGCCTTTGTAATCACACGAGGAACTGATCAAACGGCTTCAGTAAGTGAACACGCCACTCAATTTGCGTCGCC